CTTCTGGCGTAGGAGGAAGCGAACACTGGTGCCTCAGGGGTTGGAATTAAGCAAGTCTCCATGTACAGGTCCTACCAGCGCCTCTTGGATCTTTCATGCAATGTCTGAGTCTCCTCCCCCATCCACCCCCCCAAAAAGGATGAGGCAGACATGGCCAAGCGGCGGCGGGTCTCACCTGACTAGACAGAAAGACGAAGGAAGGACAGGTGGGCAATGGGGAGGCGAGGTTAGCAGTGAGAGAAGGGGCTCCGATCTCGGGGGCTGTGCTGAGCTCCAGCGAGGCGATGTGGATTATCTCTAAGGTATTAACTGACAGTCTACACTGAGAAATAATTGATTTACCCTAGGGTCAATAATTTAGATGTCATTCGGTGACCTTTGGATACTATCATTTTAAAAAATGTTTCCAAAGGAAGACACTGCAACTGCAAGATGCCGCTCTCTTCTTAAAGCTTATGCTAAAGACCAGCGAGTGACAGCAGCCTGATGCAGGTCATGCAGCTCCTGTGCAGGGATAGTCACTTAGGTTGCTGAGAGCAAACACCCAGCTGCTGCAGTCAGTTCTGGGCACTCTGCATGGTACTGTGTTTCCCTTCTTTTTTTAATTTTATTTTTATTTTTGAGACAGTGTCTCACTATGCAGTTCGGGCTGCCCCTGAGCTCACTTTGTAACCCAGGCTGATCTGGAACTTGCAATGACCCTCCTGCCTCAGCCTCATGAGTGCTAGGATTACATGTGTGTGCCACCAAACCCAGATCTTCCCTTCTTATTCCTCTCCCTCTGCTTGTCTGTCTACATTTTGTCCCACAGGGGAAGCTTCTCCCTGTGGAGTGCAGCTGGGCTGTCTGCATCCTGTGCAGACCGCTGGGCAGTGGCAGCGGGCAGCCTTCCCTCCGAAGCTCAGGTTCCTTTCCTCGAGGCTCTGCCGGCCTCTGAGAGCGGCCTCTTTTCCTGTGTGGCACTGCCCTGCTCAGAACGGCTGCGGCCATGAGCTGATTGCTGCTCCTGTGTGAGTGCCTCGTGACCACAGCCAGTTCCAGCCCAGAGGCAGGCTGTCAGTGCCCCCCTCCTGGCATCAGTGTCGCCCTGCAATGGCCATGTGGCTCAGCCAGCTCACCGCTGGCTTTTACTTTTATCTCTCATGAGGGAGAAGGCAGCCTGGGAACAGAGCAAGCCCTGCCTGCCTTTCTCTGAGCATCACTGAGTGCTGTTTGCCATCTGCTGTTAAATGAGATTCTGTGACAGGAGGGGAGAGGAGGAGACAGGACTCCAGGTAAGAGATAATTTCCAGTTTCCCGAAGCGTGGGCCCAGCACGCCAGCTCTGTCAGTTCGCCAGCCGGGTTCCAGCCTCAGCCTCCATTCCAGCCCCAGCTTTAAACACTTTTACTTTGAAATGGGCATGTGTGCTGAGCCTCTACCAGAGTCCTAACCCTGCAGCTGGGGTGACTTTCAGGACAGCAGTGTTTCACCCAGAGGAGTCTGAGGTTTCTCCCCGTATTCTGGCCTCTTCCTCTGAGTCCTTCTGAGCACTGCTTCCTGCAGTGAAATATATTAAAATGTTGACATCTGGATCATTTAAAGAATTAGCAACCATTCCAACCAATTACAGTTTTAATCGTATTTGCCTTTGGTTTACTGCTATTTACTCTGTTCCTATGTTATGTCTTTTCTTAGTGTCAAATAAGTCATTCCGAATGATGCTTGTGTTTTCCTCACTTGAGTAAAAGCTGGGGGAAGGGCATGTGTGCGTCTCATCTCCTGGAGTGGAGGCTGCACAAATCAGCTTGGAGCAGGAGCTAGGGGGAAGCCGAGAGCCCCTGAGGGTGAACTTTGTTACTTTCTACATCTTGATGACTTAGGCCTTTCCAAGATTGTTTCATTATGTTTCTATGACTTAACTACCAAAGCACCAGAGAAGATTACAAGTAAGTACAGCTGCATGCATAACTGTGAATGGCAGCTTTTGTAATTTTGGGGGCTACATCTGGGAGTGGTAGCACATGCCCTTCTTTGTACTGTGCAAGCCCCATGATGAGTTACTGCATCTGCTTGGGATGGGGCATCTTCTCTCTTACACTGTCTCGGGGACGTGTCAGTAGCAGACGCTGCCTCTAGGGCAGCAGGTGTGGGACACAGACAGATCTCATGTTTAAATGCAAACGCGTTATAATCCCTGATGCTCAGGGAAGACTTTAGAAAGATGCTGCTCTCTACCTCCAGCTGATGTCTGTTATTTGAAGTCCTGCCTCAGGGACAACATACACACACACACACACACACACACACACACACACACATGCACGCGTGCGTGTACACATACACACAGGGATAGCTCCCACTTACAATGGTGCAGCTGATGATTGGTGAACATGAAATACATCCCGTGAGTCACTGCTTCCAGTTTTGGATTCTGCCCTTCTCCTGGACCAGTGCTTCATGGCGTGACTTTCTCTCATGACACTGAGCAGTGTCGGCCCTGGCTCTCCCCCGTCCTCTTGGTTTCATGGCAGACACCCTCCGTGCTGGATCGCATTGCGACCCTGCGGTGTGTGGGAGGTTAGGCTCACTACCTGTGCATTTGCCCTCTGTATATTTTCAATTTACATGGGATCATTGTGGGAACTCCATCATAAGGCAAGAAGCATCTGCATACATGTACATGTGCACGCATGCACACACACACACACACACACACACACACACACACACTACACACATGCACAATGGTGCCTTGGTTCATGAACTTAATGCATTCTGTGACTCTGGGGAAAGGTGGCCATAGTTGTGTTCATCACTCAGTGAGTTCACAGTTAGTAGTGAACTTTTGCCAAATGTTTCTGTTTGCAAACTGAACTGTGGGTGAACAGAAGTGTTTGTGAACCAAGGTGTTATATATATTCTTTTACTGTAGGATAATGCATATATTATATGCACTATTTATATCTTAATTCCATGCTAGGACACATAGCTCTAGGAAGGATGAAAGTGTTATCTGTGAGAGTTTATCGGCTCCTCTGCTGTGACATGATGAGGGCCAGCTCACTCCCAGACACCAGGTTCTCAGAACTTTGGGCCAGCAGCCTGGTAATTGTACGCTGCAAAAGCACCTCCGTCCCAGCTTTTAATGACTGCATCTGGAAAATCCTGTCACAAGGGATTTCCACTGGGGCAGGAGCTGAGTGGATGTGAGGGTGGCCCTGGGCTTGTTCCTGAAGGTGCCTCGTCAGTTCTGACCAACGACAGTGGGAGCCCACAGATGCCTCTCCTGGCAGACACAGGAGGACAGGCTCAGGCCACGAAGTTCACAAGCCTTCGCAGTGCGCTCTAGGGATGAGCACTGGTTTGCACCGGAGGCCCCGGTGCCCACCACTCACCGCAGTGGTTTCTCATCCAATGTAGACAGTCCCATAGATCTCAGGAGCAAGGTTAAGTGAGCAGATGGTGCCTCAGCACCCTGCTTCTTTTTTTGGAAAGAACGGAAGCGTCACAATTGGAGTTCACATGAGGCCTCCTTTCTCTTTCCTCTATCCCAACTCTAAAACTCTTTAGGTAAACACAGACATGTACAATAAGTATGCACAGAAAGATTTTGTAGGCTTTCCTCAGAAAGCTTCTTGCTTAATAAAATGTTGCTCAGCAGAACAAAAAAATAAACCTATAAATTGCAGTTTTAAAAAGTTTACAAGTGGGGCCGGGGATTTAGCTCAGCGGCATAAGCGTCTTCCTGGCAAGCATGCGGTCGTGAGTTCCATATCTGGTACCAAAAAAAAAAAAAAAAAAAAGTTTACAAGTGAAAGAGAAAAAAAATCCACATCTTCTGGTATGTGGCTGGATTTGTGCAGTGCGCAGGGTGTGGTCTCTTTTTAGAGTTAGTTTCTCTCGTTCAGAGTCTACCCACGTGATTTGCAAATGAAAAGTGAGGCTTAGCATAGCTTTACTTTAGGGAAACAACTGATATGTAAGAGCAGGGAATATTTGATAGTGAGTTTGGGATGAGTCCTTGATACTGGGTTAAAAGTCTTGGTCCTTAACCTCATTTCAAATAAAAATATCAAAAGTTTTGTGGGTGAAAAGAACAAAAATGCCTTGTTTGTATTAGAGGGAAATAAACAAAGAGAAAGAGTAAGAAGAGAACGTCCAAGGCCAGAACCTGCTGCTTACTGTCTCCGTAACTGAGCTAACAGACTATCCAAACAGCAACTCTTCTATTTAAAGTTAGCGTAATTCTCTATTGGAAGATGTGTGGAAGTAAAACATTATAATGCCATGCAAAAGCTGTGCAATTGTGACTGAAGCAGAAATCCCAAGCATAACTGGGCTCATTCCTCAGGTTGGACACAGGGCAGGGAAGGGTGAGTGTGTGTCAATCCTTCCACCACCATGATTCTTGCTTGGTGTCTGCACTGGGTGCCACCCAGTGCGTCCCGAGGCTGGGAAAGCACAGCTGGATGTCATCAGTGTGCCGGCAGAAGAGGGGCAGCAAAGGAGTTTGGTGTGGACGGAGGGGCCCAGGGTGCGACACTGCTCTGGGGCTCGGTCTGTGAGAGGGGCGAGGAGAGGGCTGAGCCAGCACAAGGCTGAAAACGTAGTCTGGGAAATTCTGGTAGGACTCAATATTATTTTGAGTAGGAAATGAGGAGGTATTATTGAGAAACTCTTGGGGTAGCCTCTGCATCTGGCTGCTCTGACCCTTCTGTTCCAGATGCATAAAGGCATTAATTTGGGGCGTGGCAAGGAAAAGCAGTCTGCCCCTACTTTTCTAAAGATTCTTAAACATCCTTGTCGCATGCCATGAGTGGCATTTCTGATGGTGCTCGTTTCCCCCCTCCTCCTTAACCTTTTTCAAACTTGCCTCTGAGTTCTGCTTTCTCTTTCCTGAGTACCTGGCTCCCTCCCTGTCTCCTGTCCATGCAGGCCCAGCAATGACCCGCAATGCCTGACAGTGCTGTGCTGCAGGCCTCTGATTGCACTTTCCCCCCATTTTCTTGCATCCTGCAGGTCATCGCCTCACATTCCCAAAGGATTCTCAAGGAACCTCTGAGCGCTGTCCAGGTCCTGATTTGGTGCACATGCTTCGGTCTGTCGTTTCCCGATTCCAATCAGGTAATCCCAGCCTACCTGATTTTTAATTCTCCATGCTGCCCGGGCGTTTGCCAAAGTTGCTGAAATCCACGCTGTTGCCCAGTAAGCCTAGTTCCTGTCCCAGGAGCCTTGGCCTCTTTGCTGGAAATGTGTCTCTTCTTCCCCTTAGCAGGTGCACGGCAGGGGTAGAGTCCTTGGTCATATACTGTCTGCAAAGAGAGGGATTCAACTTGGCTAAACATCTGCTTCCAAGAAGAAAAGAGAAAGGGGGAAGACCCTCTCTAGAGAAGGAAGCAGGTACCACCCACACAGGGAGACTCATAGTGCCCATCCTGAGCACGATAATTTGCGGTCTGGCCCCAAACTTTGTCTCCATGTCTCTCCATCCCGGCAGTCCCCTGGGCCTGTTCTGCATTTAGTCTATAACAAGACAGCTCATGGTTCTCCCTGCTGCTTCCCCTGAACATTTAATTTTATTTTTAGCTTATCACATAAAAATAGACCTTTGGGATCATTTGCAGCAACATGGCTGGAACTGAAGGACAACACGCGGGGCAGAGATGGACAGTCACAAGCTGTCACTATTTACCGTGGTGAGTGTGCAGCAGGGGTCGCTGCAAGATGCAGCAGAGGCTGGAAACTAAACTCAGATGGGCAGTTAGCTCTAATGCAGAGCACAGTACAGCCGCAGTGTTCAGTGATTAACCAGAGCACAGTACAGCCGCAGTGTTCGGTGATTAACCACGCATCTCACAATGACTAGAGCACGGTTCCAATGTCCCCAGCATGTAGAATAGTAAGGATTGAGAACATAGAAATGGTAATGACCTTGATATGATCATTTTACCCTGCACACATGCACTGAATTGTAATACCATATCCCGTAAATAAGTGTGGATACTATATAGCGATTAAAACTTTTAAGTTAAAAAACAAGTACCTTTAATTTTAATAACAATGTCTGTATGGCAACATAGCCCAGATACCGGGGAAGCACAGGGCTTTGCAGAGCTCACTGCTCTTCAGATCTTTACTTACTGGGTCATCTGTGAATCAAGTGAAAGCGAAAGGTTTTTAGAATCGGAGCGCTGGATGCCCTATTTCCCTATTTCCTCGCCGCGGTGCGGAGCTGGAGGGGCGGAAAGGTTGCTCGTAGAGGCCTCGGAGCAGGCGGTATTCCCGCCGGCGTCCAGCAGGGTGCGCTAAGCGGCCAGGGAGCGGAGGCGGGGAGCTGTGCGCCCCCTGTGAGCCGGGAGATCCACGCGGATGCCTCCGGAGCTCAGAGGACAGAGCGGATGGATCAAGAGGCCAGGGGAGGCCGCCTGACACTCTCGGCTCAGGCACTTCTGGGATGGCATCAGAAGTCCCCACTCAACCTGAGAACCTGGATGGACACGTATTCTGCAAAGACCCACATGCTCAGCCCTTAATCATGCTGAAATAATTGCCTTTAATGCTTTGCTTCTTTACCGCAGCAGCCTAGTGCACGCCCAGGAGGGACGCTCTGCAGAGCTCTCGGAAAAAGCTGCACTCTGGCTTCATTTCACCAAGTGTCTGGGATAAGGCGAGGCTCGCAAGGACGGGAAACGTCACAGCACCCGCTTCCTGGCGCTGGTTATCACCCAAAGGGGCCTCAGACCTGAGTCTTTAGTAGCGAGCATACAGAGTCACTGTCCAGAGCCAACTCTGCGGTCTCAGGAGCCACTAAGTCCCGTGCATGCACGGAAGCTCTGCTCCTGCCCACCTCACCCACCCGCCTGCTGCCCAGATAATACTGAGGGTCCCATGTGAGGAACCCAGAGACTCTACTTGCCTTGTACAGCAGCTACCAGGGGCTACTGACCAACTGCTGGGGCTCCAGAGCCTGCGGGTGGGGCAGCCCCCCTAACTCGCTCAGCTAGTGGCTCTCAGCCTGCTCCACGCTGGCACCAGCAGGGCCCGAGAGGGGCGTGCACTGCTCATACTGAACACACGCAGGCCAGAGAGCAGGGGCGTGCACTGCTCACGCTGAAGACACACCGAGGGATTGCGGTAGGAGCGGTGTCTTGGCGCGGTCACCTGCCAATGATGCCTGACACGGTCTCCCATCCCAAAGGTAGAGTAAAGGCACCTTTATCAGACAATGCAAAGCAATCACTGAGAAATTCCGTGACGCTGAAATATACAGTGTAGAAGCGACAGTCCACACATCGATAAAACCTATACGTCATTTAATTAGATCAGTGCTTGAGAGAAGACCCAAGCAAGACCTAGCTAATCTCTGTGTCTTGGCTTTACGGCTTTGGTTCATAAGAAACAGGGAAAAAGTCACAAGGGAGCAGTTTGGAGCACTTTATTTATTTCCTCACGGGAGGGAAATGCACCGCCGTCACAGCTGGATGGCTGCATATGCCCACAGCTGTTTGTGGGTTTGAATTTATTCCACTGATCTATTTTCCCAGTCCTCTGTCAATACCACTATGTTTTCACTATTCTTACTTATTTCAACTTGCTTATTTTTTGTTTAACAAGTACATACCAGCATATGCCAAACTTTATCCTTAGTGATTTACAGCTGTGGAGTCATCTGGTCTTCAGCTCTAGGAAGTGGTCTTGTTACTGAATCTGTCTTCCAGATTAGGAAGTCAAAGGCTGGGGGTTTAGTTCTGGCATAAGCACTGCCCGGCAAGCACAAGGTTGTGAATTCAATCCCTGGTACTGCCAAAAAAAAAAAAAAAAAAAAAGGAAATCAAACCACTCACAGGAGTGACATGAATTCCAGATTCCCAAAATGCCAAAGGCCTCATTTTGTTTGTTTGTTTTTCATGGTAACTCTTTTTTTTTTTTTTTAAATTTTTTTTTTTTAAATTTTATTTAAGGAGAAAAGAAAAAAAAGCAGAGAAAGGGTACAAGTTATACAGATTTGCAGAAAAAAAAATGAACAGTAGGAAATTACTAGTTAATGGATTACATATTGTCATCTTAGAAATAATTGTTCAAGTCACAAAATTAAAGCTTGTAAAGTGGACATTCCATCAATGATACTGCAAACAGTTCTGTTCAATGATCCAATAAAACTCTGTGATATCATTTTCTATCTTATACACTTAAATATACATGTAGTTAGATAGTACAGAGCACTTTCTTTTCCTCTCTTTTGTACAATGACTATTACACATTTTGGGTTTCATTGCTCCCATGGTTCTTATTACTTTTTTGGAAGAGAGTAAAACCAAATGTGACATAACAGAACAGAATCGGTCAAGTCAAAAGGGTGGACATAATAGATAATGTGAAAACATAATACAAGGTGATCAACAATGGTTACCATAATGTCTCCCGCTATCTCTAATAGAATTGCCTATATTGTTAGTTACAATACAATTGAACAAAACTGTAAAGAATAAAACCGACAAAACCAAAACATTGGAGACATTGTAGGTCTTCAAAAATAGATAAAAGTCAATGAGAATGGGCGTTATAATGAATCTCATTATCTTCACAGCTGATGCCTAAATTTTCGAACCTGATGCTATCCAGCAAAACAGAATGGGGGAACATCAGTTAAAAACCAGATGGTGAGAGTAATACAGGGCTTTAAATCGAGGTAATGGAAAGTCAAAGTGGGTTATTATAATATATCCTGCTATTTTTTTCCTTTAATTAAAAGGATAAAAATAAAAAAGTAAATAATGGAGTGGAGATTGAGATAAAAGAGGGCATAACAACAAAACAGCACAGATCAAAACATAACCATTTAAGCAGAATAGTGTTTCACCACCAGATAATCCTGACCTAAAAGTAGTTACCATATTATCTCTTTCCTTGAAATCCTTGAGTACAACTTCGTATACTGTAGCATTAAGTATATCAAAACAATGTAAAACCATTCAAGAGAATGACAGCATTACAGAGTATTTAGAATCGACTAACAGAAAATGAACAATGGTTTCTGTATAATCTCCTTGTCTTTAAAAGGTTTTTGCTTATACTATCATACATAATAAAATCCAGTAAGATACAACCTATTTGGACCATTGGAGACAGAAGGACAAAAGCTAGATGAGACTTCAAAACAAGATGATACTAAATCAGTATTACCTATTAAGATGTCATTTTCTCCAAAATAGCTGTTCCTATCATCCAATCTTCTCTGCCTCATTTCTGTTGAGCTCTTATTCTGTCAGTAGCTGTCAGTTTGTCTTCTTCACTTTGTTCTCTGCTCCATTCGTTGTGGCCTCCATTATTTCTGGATTCTTTGTATTTTTCTTTTTTTAGAATATCCTGCAATACTCTCTGTAGAGTTGAATTGGTGGTTGCAAATTCCCCCAGTTCCTCTTTATCCTGGAAGCACCTTGTTTTTCCATCAATTTCGAGGGACAGTTGTGCAGGATATCTCAATCTTGGCTGGAGATTATTATCTTTCAAAGCTTGAATTATTTCCCCCCAAGCTCTTCGTGATTTGATGGTTTGTGCAGAGAAATCTGCTGTAATTCTGATGGGTGCTCCCTTGTAAGTGGTCTGCTTCTTGTCTCTGACAGCTTTTAATATTCTGTTCTTGTATTGAATTTCTGGAATTTTTATTATTATATGCCTGGGTGTTGCTCTGTTTGGGTTGTAGGTAGCTGGGGTCCTGTATGCCTCATACATCTGAGTATCTTTACCTTTTGCTAAATTAGGAAAATTCTCCTGGATTATTTCTGTGAGTAGCTTTTGTAGTTCATTTGTTTGTGTCTCTACTTCTTCTTTTATGTTCTTAATCCTTAAGTTATGGCTCCTCTTATCATCTTCTTGTCTTTGTATTATTGCTGTTTGTTTCTTTGTTATTTTTAAGAAGTTTTTCATTTCATTCTCCCATATTACAATTCTGCCCTCCAGTTCAGATAGTCTGTCCTTAGTTTCTTTCAAGCTGTTATGCCAGTCTTCGATAGACTTCTTAGTTTCTTGGTAGTCCCTTTGAACCTGCTTCACGTATTCTATGCTTTCCCTGTTTTCTCCATCAAACAATTCTCCCCTCTTTTTCTGTTCTTCCATTCCACCATCTGTTTTTTCTTGGGTGGTGCTTAGTATTTCTCTAACTATTTTGCATACTTCTAGCTTCAGGTCGTTGATAACTTCATTCCTGAATTGGTCTATGAGGCTCTCTATATGGCGCCTTATGTGTAATGGTGCGGTGTCTGTTATTGCCTGTTTCTCAGAATTGGGGGCCGAGGAGCCTTTCTTGTTGCTGCCTCTTCCCATATTCTCTGTTCCTTATATATGCAAGCTTATATGAGAGGCCTAGCTTCCCTCTCTGTCAGCCACAGCCTGATCGAATTGCGCCGGTTAGGTGTTTCCACTCACTGCTGCACACCAGGCAGCCTACGCGGGGGCCCGCCCCTCCCGGCCTCCGTCAGGCTCTGGGATCTGGGTTGGGCCAGCCTACGGGGTCCGCCGGCAGCGTCACGCAGGCCAGGCACTTTTCACCAATCCCGCCCGACAGGGGAATGTGTGGCTGGAGTCGCCAGCGCGCCCTGCTCCCACAGGACTGCCCGGGCCCAGAAAGTCCGCTGGAGTCAAACTGTGGTGGAGTGTCAGTTTCTCTCACTCACCTCGCCACAAGTCAGAACATGCCTCCCTGCCTGTCCTGTTTTTGACTCCGTTCACAGACTCCCGTTCTCAGAGTTTCCGTGCGTCTCTCTCCTTGCCGAGCCGACGTAGAGGCAGCCAGCCACCGCGCGGCGGGAAACCCAAATGGCGTGGGGTCCAGCCTCAGCAGCGAGGCTTTTCTGTTCCTGTTTTAGCACCAGGACTGCATTCCAAGTTGGTTTCTCTCAGCCGAGTTCGTTCCTGAGTCAGCAGAGCATAACTCCACCTGCTTATGTCTCTTTAGTCGGCACCATACCTGGCTTCTGAGCCTAGTTTTCAGAGAGCCTCCGGTAGTTGCTGTTATCTGTCCGCCATGTTCTCCCGGAAGTCTTCATGGTAACTCTTTGATGTGATTTTGCAAAAAAAAAAAAAAAAAAAAAAAGGAACTCAAACCACTCACAGGAGTGACATGAATTCCAGATTCCCAAAATGCCAAAGGCCCCATTTTGTTTGTTTGTTTTTCATGGTAACTCTTTGATGTGATTTTGTATTTCCTGTGAATCTTTCTTTCTTTCTTTTTTTTTTTTGTCTTTTTCGTTTTTATCGGTACCGGGATTGAACTCCGACTGCCTGCTTGCAAGGCAGGCGCTTATGCCGCTGAGCTAAATCCCCAGCCCCTTTCTGTAAATCTTAATTCCAATTGTGTTTCACCTCCCAGAGCTGTTTTCTGTTCCCTGCCTGCGCCTTCCAAGCTAAGATGAACAACTATTTGTGTTTATGGTTGTCCTGAAACACCGCTCTTGTGGTGGGCTTTTTGTGTCACAGTCACATGGACATCTGCGGTTACCGAACTGAAGTCACTGAATTTACTCTCGGGAGTGCACTGCTGGCTGCTGTTTCTCCAGTTTTCAGTACATGTGTACACATTTGTGTATACATCTTTCCTTTCTTTCTTTTTTCTATTATCTATCTACCTATCTATGTATAGTTCATCTCTGTATCTGTGTGTATGGATATTTTTTGCTCTTTTTCCTCTTCATCCTATCACTACACTCTGTTTTGTCCCTTTAAAAAAAAAAACCCCAGTTCAACATAATCTACTTAGAACATGAGCTTTTACCTCCTAACTGTCCCTCCCACCAAGTCACTGTCACAGAGTAAAGTGGGCTTCTCCTCTGGATTATGCTGTCTCACTTATGGACAGAAATAGCTATAGGAAATTGTAGCCTCAAATTGTAGTTGAGATTATCATCATTAAAGTATTACTTGTGAATTTATATTGATGTTTAGTAAGCATATAGACTATTTTTAGCACATAGACTCTTAAAACTGGTGGAAAATTCTAGTATCATTTAGTCGAGATCTTCCTTTATAGATCAGTAATTTTCAAACTTGGCTGCACATTAATGTCTTCTGAGAGCTTCAGAAACACTGATGTCTGCAAACAGCATTAGGTATTCTGATTTAATTAGTACATGGCGTATTCTGTCCAGAAAGCAAAATCTACACAAGGCTTAAGTAAGACAGAACTAGATTCAATACTGTTTGATAACTCAGTGCAAGTTCTGTGGCTCACTGTTATTTTGGGTGCATTTCTTGATCACTCTCTGAGTCACTCACACACCGCTTGGGTCTGCCTGGGTTCAAGGTTGAAAAATACGAAGAACTGGCGTGGTGGAGGCCGACGACCTGGGCATATACACTTGGGAGTCACCATGTGTTTTAGGGAATCACACTGGTATCATTAAAATATTTGTTCTTTCAATCCAAATGAGAAAAATAAGGACTCTTTTGGCCAGTGCATAGAGGAAAGAACAGGAGGTTACAAAAAGGGTACTAGAGAATGGTTCTTTTTTTAAAATTTTATTTAAGGAGAAAAAGAAAAAAAAAGCAGAAAAGGGGTACACGTTATACAGAATTTCAGAAAAAAAATAAACAGTAGGAAATCACTAATTAATGGATTATATATTGTCATCTTTGACATATTTGTTCAAGTTACAAAATTAAAGCATATAAAGTGGACATTCAAACAGTGAGACTGCAAACAGTTCTGTTCAGTGATCCAACAAAACTCAGTAATATCATTGTCTATCTTATACTCTTAAATATACATGCAGTTATATCGTTTAGAGCACTTTCTTTTCCTCTCTTTTGTACAATGACTATTACACATTAGAGAATGGTTCTTTACCATATATTGAACAATGCTGTGCCCTGGGTTGTCTTGCATGAAGGATTGTCACAATCTAGTGACTTAACAAGGAACCCAGTTCAGTAGGTCACAGTTTTGTAGGCAGAAGTTTCTCTCACACTGACTAGATTCTGTATTCAAGAGATCCCAAGGCAGAACCAAGATCTCAGCCAAATGGGGTTCTCATCCAAAGACTCTAAGCAGAAAACCTTTTCCAAACGCATTCTTACTATTGGAAAAATTCAGTTCAGTTTGGCTATGGAAGGGCGAGTCCCGTTTTTCTTACTGGCTCCCAGCTGGGTGTTTCTCTCAGCCCCTCGGGCTCACCTGA